GGGCTTTAAGGTCCTGTCTAACCCAAACCATTCTGGGATTCTGTGATTCCATAAGTATTTGACCTTCATGTTTTAGGCTCGAGGAGTAGAGGAGAGGTCCTTTGGGCTGAGAGGATTCCAGATCCAGAGTTATCCCTGCAGCATCATCCTGACTTCTCTGAGATAGGACAAGAGGTTTTTTTGAGGGAGGTTATTTATCTTAGAAGACGTGGGACTCCCTCTCCTGCCATCTTCTGTACCTTGGGCATCACTTCCCACGTTTCTTGAAGCCCACAGTGAGAGGTCTATTTTGTGGACTCCCCCATCCCTGGAAGTGTCCAAGGGTCTTGGAGAGACCTGGTCTAGTGGAAGGTGTCCCTGCCCATGGCAGGGGATGGAACTGGATGTTCCATAAGGTCCCTTCCCACCTGACCATTCCGTAATTCCGTGACTCTGTGACACGGGGGCAAGTGTGCCAGTGCTGGTGCTGGCTCAGATCTTGTTCTGAGGGCTCTGGCAGAGCTTGCAAACTGTGTTTTGAGTCAGTTGAGGGGTTCACATTCCATTATTCCTGGTTTGGCTGAAGGAATTTCACCCGGTTCAGGGCTGTCCTGCCTTACCTCCTGTCTGGAGGGAGACACAAAGTCATGGCCTTGTCCCCGTTTGCCACCAGCAGTGAGGTTTTCAACCGTCCTCTCCCTGTGCTTGGGGTGAGGGGCTTAAAAACAAGCCTCTGCTCGGAGGAAAAGAATGTTTTTGAACGTGATGTTGCGAGGGGAGTGAAAAGGAAGTGGGTTTTGAGGTAGAATTGACGGTTGGACTCGAGGACGTTAAAGGTCTTTTCCAATTTAAATGATTCTGTGGCAGTGATCTTAAAGGTCTTTTCCAATTTAGATGATTCTGTGAGTCTGTGATTCCATGAAATGGGGAGAAAGTGCTTCTCAGCCCCTGCTTAGGAGAACCTGGGGCAGGGCTGGCAGCTGGTTCCCAGTTTAATTCTTTCTTTTTTTCCAGCATTTTCCTCTCTTGGATTCGACCATTTCAATTTTCACCATTCGGGGAAAAGTTCATGTATCCGTATAAAACCAATTTTAATTTCTTTTTTAATTTATTTTTAATTAATTTACCTCTCTTTTGTCATCACATTGGCACCACTCTCCGTTCCGTCATTTTTATAAACACCCACCTGAACCTCTCTCCTGCTCTCCACAAGCCCTGCAGCTTCCTGAGCTTATCCCCCCTTCAGCATCATCGTGCTAAAAGCTCCTCTTGATTTTTTTTCCCCTCCTCTTCTTTTCCCATTCCCCCCAGTGTACGTGCTGTCGAGTTTGATTTATGGCCTTGAAAGGGAGACTCTCGTTTAAAGAATTAATGGTATTTGCATATTTTATTTGGAAACTCCCCCGGCAGACCCTCAGCAGCCCAGGCGGGTTTTTCCTTTCCCTTTTCTTTTTTTTTGTGTGTGTGTCTGGGCCGTTTCAGATTTAGCAGCAGAGGTGAAAAGTTGAAACAGTAAAACCAATAAAACCACATTTATGTGACAGATAAATCGTTCCGAGGCAGCTCTCCCTGAGCCTCTGGGCTTCCTCCTCCCCAGCCCTCTCCCCTCCGGAGCACGACCCGGAGCGCCGGTGCTGCCCCCGGCAAAGGTGCCGGCCCTGGATATCCTCGGACCTGCTGAGCCGAAAAGATGGATGTGGGCAAACAGTTGGAAAATACACAGGCCATCCGTCACTGTCGGGAGCCAGCCGGGGGGAGTCGGGCTCCGAGGGAGCTCCGGGAAGGTCCAGTTTGAGGTGGGGGCATTTGGAATCATGGAATGGTTTAGGTCAGAAAAGAGCTCGAGGATTGTCGAGTCCAACTGTTCACCCAGCGCTGCCGAGGCCACCACTGACCATGTCCCCAAGTGCCACATCCACAGGGATTTTAAATTCCTCCAGGGGTGGGAATCCACCCCTGCCCTGGGCAGCCTGTTCCTGTGGAGAAATTTTCCTTAATATCCCATCTAAACCTGCCCTGGTACAGCCTGAGGCTGTTCCCTTTCCTCCTGTCCCTTGTTCCCTGGGAGCAGAGTCCAACCCCCCTCCGGCTCCCCCCTCCTGTCAGGGAGTTGCAGAGCCAGAAGGTCCCCCCTGAGCCTCCTTTTCTCCAGGCTGAGCCCCCCCAGCTCCCTCAGCTGCTCCTGCTGCTCCAGCCCCTTCCCAGCTCTGTTCCCTTCCCTGCTCCAGCCCCTTCGTGTCCTTCTTGTGAGGGGCCCAGAACTGCTCCCAGAATTCAAGGTGGGTCTCACCAGTGCCAGCACTGGGACAGGCACTGCCGTGATCCTGCTGCCACACAGGGCTGGCACAATCCAGGTGCCCTTTGCCTTCTTGGCCACCTGGGCTCACGTTCAGCCACAGTTGACCAGCACCTCCATGTCACTGGAATTTCTCTGTCAGTTTGAAGCCATTCCCTGTGTCCTGTCCCCCCATACCTTGTCCTCAGTCCCTCTCCAGCTCTCCTGGAGCCCCTTTAGGCCCTGCCAGGGGCTCTCAGCTCTCCCTGCAGCCTTCTCTTCTCCAGGGGAACCCCCCCAGCTCTCCCAGCCTGGCTCCAGAGCAGAGGGGCTCCAGCCCCAGGAACATCTCCAGGTCCTCCTCTGAGCTCCCGAGCCTCCGCCTCTTCCCTGTTTATAACAACTTCCAGCATTTTAGTTCCACCTTCTCCCAACTGCTTTCTACCCCTCACCTTTTCATTTTCCTGCTCCTTCACCCCGTTCCCCTGGCCCTTTATTCCTGTTCCCCACGAAGGGCTACCTGGCCCCTCGGGCGCTTTTCCACGGCGATAAACTCGTTCTGCTTTGTTCGGGATTTGCCCGAGGCACGTTCGGCCTCCCCGGGCCACCAGCAAGAGGCCTTTGGTGCGTTGTGGGGGTTCCCATTTAGCCTCTACAACCGTCACAACTTCTCCCAGCGGCCGACAAACCCCACACGGGAGGGCCTTGGCCCCGCTGCTCCCGCCTGAAAGGAGCCTGTGAAATCATCCTGGAGGTCGTCTCTTGGAGGTGCCAACCGTTGGAAAAACCTCCTGCCAACGATGTTCAGCTCGGCTTTGGAGTTGACACAATGGCCCCGGCGCACAAAGCCGAGCGGGACCGCGGGCTGGAAAAGGCCTCTTAGGTCCCGGCTAATCCGTCCCCCCCGCCAGCCCGCGGGATTGTTCCCGACGGCTTGTTTTTCTTTGCCCTGACCTACATAGTCAAAGAGAATCTTGTTGCACATTTTTGTTTTGTATCTCGAGGTCTCGGAGGAGCTAAATCCCCTTCTTGGCGGGGCAGGGCGCGTTGTTAAACAGCGCCGGAGCCTCCAGGAAAACCATGGAGACGCGGGGACAATGGGCCCTCTATGGTTCCGGCTTCTCCCGGCTTCTCCCGGCTTCGGTGGTGGGCACCGGGACGCGCCGAGGCGGGAGATGAAGACGTCCACACGCTTGGCAGCCTGTCCCCAAATAGAGTGGTCACAGCTGATCTCCAAGACGGGATGTTTGGGGAGGGGGGGAGATGCAGAAGGTCTTAATTAACCTGGTTTAGATGGTGGAGGTGAAGGCTGCATCCCATGGATCCTCAGCTATGTCCATGTGGATGGATGGGAAAGGCGGTGCTCTGAGGGGTGAGAGAAGATGAGGGAGTCTGTCCCTAAATAGAGTGGTCACAGCTGCTCTCCAAGGTGGAATGTTTGGGGAGGGGGGGAGATGCAGAAGATCTTAATTAACCTGGTTTAGATGGTGGAGGTGAAGGCTGCATCCCAT